TTATTCTGCTTCTTGATTGTATTTGTTAAATCATTATTATCCAACTTTATTTCTTCTTCGCCAATATTGACAATTTTTATTTTAGATTTCATCCGTGGTGACTCAGTAACTTTTTCATCCAACTTGGCTTGTACTGTAGCCTTTAACTTTTCCATTTTTTCCGGTCTCACAACCCAGGATCACTGTTCTCTTGCTTTCTTTTCTTAGCTTCCTTTATTATTCCTATAGACATGTTCTTGATATTTACCTTTTCTTTTATCAGTTTTTTAGTAGTTTCACTTTCCTGTTACAACTTAGGTTTAATAATTACAATATTTTTTTCTTTTTTCTCTTTCACTGCTTCATTATAACATTTTGTGCTCCTTTGATGGACCACAAGCTTCTCCTTGTATCATTTTTCTGCAGATCCTATGATCCTAGCCTATCTTTGCTGCTCCCTGTCGAAGTCAATGCCTTCTTCATATCTGTTTCTTTATCACTTCCGACTATAAATTTCTCAAACGAAGAGAGAGAGAAAGAGGGAGAGGGAGGAGGGAGAGAGAGAGAGAGAAAGGGAGGGAGAGGGAGGAGGGAGAGAAAGAGAAAGGGAGGAGGGAGAGAAAGAGAAAGGGAGGGAGAGAGACGGAGGAGGAGGGAGGGGGAAGGAGAGAGAGGGAGGGAGCGAGAGAGGGAGGGAGGAGGGGAGATGAAAGGAGGGAAAGGGCGGGAGGGAGAGGGGAGGGAGAAAGGGGGGAGAGGGATAGAGGGAAGGAAGAGAGGGAGGGAGGGGAGAGGAATGGGTAGAGGAAAGGAAAGCGGGAAAGAGGAGGGGTGTGAGAGAGGTGTGAGAGGGGGTAGAGCGGGGTAGGGGAGAGAGCGGATGGAGAGGGAAGGGTGGGGAAGGGGAGAGGGAGGAATGGATGGAGGGTGGTAGAGAGGGAGGGGGCTGGAGGGAGAGGTAGTAAGAGAGGGAGGGAGAAAGAGTAAACTAATTATTCTTCTTTCAAAGTGCACGATATATTATACAGGGTGTCCTAGACCACCCGTACACCCCTTTTCTTTCAAAAACTAAGCATTTTAGAGAAAAACGTTTTGAATAAAAATTGTATGGTTTTGAGGGGAACATAAGATGGTGTCATTGGTTTGACCTTGGATGGCATCGTTAAGGTCAAGTTAAGGACACCTTTAATTTCTTAAACGTAATCCCCTATTTTCTATTGCATATTCTTATAGCTTATCCCGAGAGCTTTCCAAAACACTATAATAAAGTATTTTTTCATTAAGTACTTTTTGAGTTATTTTATATTTTAATCTGACATATTTTGATATAAAAAATAAAATATCTCGTAAAATATTTAGTTCTCGATAATTTTACTGTAATACTTTTATGTACAGTACTTAATGAAAAAATACTTTATTATAGTGTTTTGAAAAGCTCTCGAGATAAGCTATAAAAATATGTAATAAAAAATAGGGAGTTCCATTTAAGAAATTTATGATGACTTTCACGTGACCTTGACAACGCTATTCAAGGTCGTACTAATATTACTATATAATGCGTTACTTGAAACTCTACAACTTTTGTCTGAAATGTTTTTGTCTGCCGTTTTCGGTTTTCGAGATATTTGGCTGGCACGGGTGGTCTGATACACCCTGTATATACAGGATGTCTCACAACCTCCGTACAATATTTTAATAGCGTATTCTAGAGGCAAAATAGAGTCAACAATCTTAATACAAAAATATCGAGGGTACAATAGCTTTGAGTTATAAGTGATCAAAGTTTGCGAATAATATTGCGTAGAATTCGCGCTTTCAGGCTCGTAACTACATTTACACACGTACTGATCTGTTATATGTTATTGCTGACAAATAAAATAAATAAATTGACTTCTACAAAACTTCTTCACGCGATCAAGACAAAAATAAACTTCATTTCTTAAATGTATGAAAATATTAAGTTTATGTTTCTATTTAATTATAATAATTAATCAATCATTAAAATTATTATTTAAGAAAAATTTAAATATTTTACGTACAACATTTATATACTCTATCCAAAGAGAGAATAATATCGGGTCGGACGAAAACTCGTCCGTTTTGCGCAAGTCTCTACCTTCAGAACGCCTAAAAAGCCCCCACTACATCGTCATATCGCTCATGCAGCTTGCCAGTGCTAGCAACGAGTAACAAATCTCCCCCGACCATTTGACATATTGACAGTTGCAATTATTTTCTCAAAATAACCCTCGAACGGTTTGGTGCAGCGTCAACGAGCATTTTTAGTGTTTTTCTGCTAAAAAAGTATTTACAAAGTGCGATGGAAGAATTGAATATTGTAGTGCCACTAATGTCATCTCCTGTGAAGAAAAATAAACGAGGCCAGGTAAACAATGATGAATAAAAAATATTAATCTACGTATACGGTATTAAGTATGTCGCCATGTTCTCCCCATTTTGCGCGCCTATGCGCGGACCGATATTATTCTTTCTTTGGATGGAGTATAGTTCATTAATATCAGCTGACCATCGTACATAGTATTTATACACATAAGAAACAATAAAATCAGCTGTGCAGTAAAATTCAATATTACCTGATTCGTAAAATCAATAACAGATGACAGAGATCATGTGTAGTTACGGATCTGAACGCGCAACCTCTACGCGATATCATTGGCAAACTTTGATCGCTTATAACTCAAAAACTATTGCAGCCTCAAAATTTTTGTATTAAAATTTTTGACTATTTTATCTTTAGAATACACTATTAAAGTATTGTACGGAGGTTATAGGGTGTATAGGGTGGCCCACATAACTCTTAACATTTCGATATCACGGAAACTATCTATCGATTCTAAAGATTTTGATCTTGAATTGTATGGGTCTGATGGGCCTTCAAATGTGAATGAAAGTTGGTTTCCAAACCCCGGTTGCGTGGATAGGGCGGGAGTTAACTTTAAAATTTTTAATGGAAACCCCTATACAAAATTACATTTTTGGATTTTATGAAAGAAAACAACATAGTTTTATCTAAAACGTTTTTTTGTCAGACGTTTCTATAAAAAAATATGACGATTTGAAGTTTTTTGGGTAAAAGTGCATATTAGCGGACCCAGCCCCAATGACCTTGACCTTGATATATGTTGCCAAGATCATCGGCTTGAGTAATTCTTAAAATGTTTTAGCCGTCGCTCGTTGTTCATTAAACAATTTATTAAATAAAACGTAACTTTTTTGGAACCATGTACATTTAATAGAGCGTATCTTAGCAAAATCATTTATTTATATGTAATAAATCAAACGCGTGGGGGAGGGTCTCCGCCTCTCTCCCTACATCCTCACCTCGCAGAAAACTAACCTAACTCAATTCATGTCCGAGAGATGAATCTTTACTTTAAATAATAATTCATCTTTCGGCATTTGTAGGAGAGGCTTCATCCCTCCCCCACCGACATGTGTAAGTTGTTGACATATTATTTTTCTGTAAAAGAACTACTCATCCCGAATAATGTTTCACCTCTACGAAATGGATTGGGTTAAGTTAGTTTTTTTCGGGGTAAGGGTGCAGGGAGAGAAGCAGGGACCTTCCCCCGCTCACGCGTTTGATTTACTACACATAAAGAAATGAATCTGTTAAGTTACGCTGTATTAAATGTTAATCTGAAAATTATATATAATTCATGGAAATTCTCTTGTTAATAAACAATGAGCAATGCTTAAAAATTTTTGAAAGATACTCAGGATAGTGACCTTGACAGTGATTTTGACAACATGTGTCAAGATCAAAGTCATTGGGGCTGAATCCGTTAATATGCATTTTTACCGTTTTTCGATTTATAACTATTTAAAGCACTCGAGAATAACAACACGAAATAAAAAAAAACAATCTGCTTTGACTTATTCAATTTATTAAATGTTCAAAATGTCCGCCATGGACTTGTAAATATTTATTTATTCGAATCAACAAAGTATTCCTAACATTTCATAGTACTTTGGGAGTCATTGAAGTGCAAGCGTTAATTCGGATAAATAAATGTTTACAAATTCATGATGGACATTTTGAATATTTAATAAATTGAATAAGTCAGAGTAGAGTGTTTTTCTTATTTCGTGTGATTATTCCCGAGTTTCCCGCTTCAAGTAACTATAAGACGAAACTTCAAACCATCATATTTTTTTATAAAAACATCTGACAAAAATTGTTTCCGATAAAACTAAGTTATTATCTTTCATAAAATCCAAAAATGTAATTTTGTATAGGAGTTCCTATTTAAAATTTTAAAGTTAACCCCCACCATACTCACGCAACCAAGGTTTGGAAATCAACTTTTATTTGTAAGATTTTAAGAGGAATCTATATAACCAAGCTGAGCGAATACGGTGGCACTGGGCGCTATGTAGCTTATTGTTAATGGCAGAGTGGTTACCAGCTGAGAGAGAGGTTCTGGGATCGAGTCCCGATGGAATCCCATTATTTTTCCTTTGCTTGATCAGGCTTACACATTCACGTTTGAAGGCTCATCAGAGCCATACAATTCAAGATCTAAATCTTTAAAATCAATGACACACTTTCCGAAATATCGAGCTATTAAGATTTATTTTAGTAAGCCACTCTGTGTATATTGTTACGTCCTTGCAATCTGTATGTGATCCACTGTACCCGATCTGTGTGGAAGTATCGATATGAAGCGAGTGTAATTGGAGAATCATCTTCAAGTTTGTCGTCATGGTTTGTTTATCAACAAAGGTGGACATCTTGAGTCAAGTCGCCATTTTGTTAGTCTCACGACCGGTGGCGCATCGTGCAGACATCTCTTTAAAATTGATTACAATTATTGTATCGCATTCCTTGTTCTTATTAAATTAAAGCTACAGTGTTCTTTTAAAAGAGTGTTATTATTTACGTGAGCACGGTTAGAGTCAGATAGTGCGAGTACGTGATTTAGCGATATCGAAATCGCAGTAATATTTTTTGGGGGCTCGTCCGGGATCGAACGGCGAAAAGAAGGAAACTAATCAGAATGACGACGGCGCATTCTCTAAGGAAAACACATTCTCAGACTCCGGCACCGTCAGTTGAAACAGAAACGCTGCGCGTGATCCTGCAAAAACTCAGTCAGCTCCGTGAAGAACGGAAAATTGAGCAAGAACAAATGCAGACGGAGTGTCGGATGCGAGACGAGGCGCTGCATCATTGGGAAGAGAAATTAAACCAGATAAGTCGCTCTAATAATATTTCAAATTCCGCGAGTAATCATGAAATTCCGATACGTACTGAATCGTGCGCGTCCGTAAATGCAGATTTGGGAAATAAAAGCCGGACACATTTGATGGGACGGCATTGTTGAGAGAATTTTTTACGCAATTAAATTTGATTACGCGGGCGAATAATTGGACGGAGGACGCGAAAACAGTCGCGTTAGCGTCAAATTTAAGGGGAAAAGCGCGATCGATGTTAGATTGCGTTACAAAAATAGAAAAATTAGAATTTGGAGAATTAAAATCAAAATTAGAGTTGCGTTTCGGCCAAAGCTATCTTTCGGAGACATATTATACGCAATTACGAATCCGCAACAAAGATTCGGAGAAGAATTGATCACTTTAGACAGGAATATTAAACGTTTAGCACGATTGGCTTATCCCGAACGTGCGGAAGAAATTCACGCAAAAATAGCTTGCTTGCAGTTTGTAAATGCAATTAATGACGAATTTGCGAAAAGAACCTTACAATTGGACGAAGTAACTTCTCTGAAAATTGCAACAGACAGGACTATGGTTATTAAAGATATATAATAAATGAAAATAACTATCAGAAAAATAAAGATCAGAATAACGAAAATGGCTGTTGGCATTGCGGGGCTATTGGACATTGCCATTCAGATTGCCCAAAAATTTCGGAAGGAAAAGTGGAAAACCAAAATTAGTTAGATTTAGCAGAGCAAGATCGACTTGTAAAAAGAATGCTCCAAAAGAAATTTTAAATTTAGTAAATTATAAAATAAGTAGAATTAAGAAAAAATAATAATTATTTATCTTATTATGAAAGAATTGATGATGAATTTTATTTTCTTTCTATGAGAACTTTAGTTTGAATTGGAAAGAACATTGTTCCGGAAAACTTCTTGAAAATCTTTAAGAAGACCGCCTCGCTCGCGGTTTTCTGTCGTGGTTTTTTCGTGAGGCTCAGGGTAAATGCCGAGGTGGGGACTTGGGGAGTTCTCAGGAAGATGGGACGGAAACATCCCCCCCCCCTTGTCTGAAGAATTTGAAGGAAAACACCAAACGGAAGGATGATCTACAGGTGATCATCGACATGGATTCATTGCAGGAGAACTGCGGCAAGAAGACTTCTTTCTTCGAGGAAGATGTCGGGATCTTTTCCTGGAGTTGACATCTTGGAAACTGGAAGATGTCAATTGGAAAATATCCAGAACTCAGCACTAAGAAGAAAAAGAAGAGGATATAAGAATCTGTAACGGCGATGCTCGGTAATCCGTAAAAATAGTTCGAGGTAGAGCAAGAATTGCTGTGGTTCCTGGAGCACCTCGGAAAAATCAGCCATTCCATGGAATTGTCGACAATTTGGAAGAGAGGGAGCAGTGTTACGTCCTTTCAATCTGTATGTGATCCACTGTACCCGATCTGTATGGAAGTATCGATATGAAGCGAGTGTAAGTAGAGAATCATCTCCAAGTTCGTCGTCATGGTTTGTTTACAAAGGCGGACATCTTAAGTCAGGTTGCCATCTTGTTAGTCTTACGACCGGTGACGCGCCGTGCCGACATCTCTTTATAATCAGTTACAATTATTGTATCATATTGCTTGTTCTGTGTTCTTGTTAAATTAAAGTTATAGTGTCCTTTAAAAGAGTGTTGTTATTTACATGAGCACGGAGAGAGTGTGAGATAGCGCGATTACGCGATTTAGCAATATATCGAAATCGCGGACGTAACAATATATATATGTATATATACAAGTTGGCCTAATATATCTAAACAGCTCGATATTTTGGATATACAGGGTGTTTCATTTTAATTTTTCTAGGCAAATATTTCGAAAAATATGGAAGATACTAAAAAATGTTTCGTACAAAAGTTTTATGGCTTCGACGGGGCATAAGATGGTGCTCTTCGTTTGACTTTGGATAATCATTTGAAAATGACATGAAGGTCATCTTCAATTTCTCAAATAAAAACCCGCATTTTTTATTGCATATTTTTGAAGCTTATCTCGAGAGCTTTTCAAAACACTATAACAAAGTATTTTTTTATTAAGTACATATTTTTCGAGTCATTTTATATCTTAATTTGACATATTTTGATATAAAAAATAAAATATCTTGTGAAATATTTAGTTTTCGATAATCTTACCGTAATACTTTTATGTACAGAATAATGAGACAAATCAATGCTCACTGACGTGCATCCGGCTAAAAATCGGCGCTGATTGACCAGACTTTACTCAATAATAACTCCTTTATTAAGCGTTATAAAAAAAAATGTTACAGGATTTTTTCTGTTCAGTTTACTATGCTCTACCCGCTACGAGCATTGGCACAATCTTTACCGGGCATCCTGTATATATACGGGGTATCCCATTTTAAATGCCGCGGGCAATATCTCGAAAAATATGGAAGATACGGAAAAATATTTCAGACAAAAGTTGCGTGATTTGAAGGAGGCTACGTGATGTAAATATTTTACGAGATATTTTATTTTTTATATCAAAATATGTCAAATTAAAATATAAACCCACACCCACACACACACACACACACACACACAAATACGCGCGCGCGCAGGTACTTGCGTGAGAACAATCCGTTATGCAATCGAATTAGGATGATCTGTTATTGATATAACGAATAGCATTCCACTAACGTAAGATAATCTCGAAATCATCTAGATAAAGATAAAATAAAATAATTTAATTTAAATTTGTCTATGTGGAAGATGAGATTATAAAATGTTTTACCTAAATAAGATATTATTTAAAAAAAATGATTTATGTTTTTAAATATAAAAATAATATACTCATATTCTTTCATTTTATTTCTTTATTTTTTAAAACAAGAATTATTAAATGTACCATTTGATAAACAATTTTTACATAGTGATATATATATAAGGTAAAACGGTGTAATACGCTTCACATTTGTATTTAAATTAATTTAAAATATCTTTATGATGAACACATTTTATTAGTAGTTGAAATTTACAGAGATTTATTAATATTACAAATAATAATTGCATCAGTTTTTGATTAATTAAATTATTGTAATTATGAGATCAATTTTTTAAAAATACTGAAAAGGGCATTTTTCCCCGGATCACCGGTGAAAAACGCCTGAGATAACTACAATTAACACAAATATTTTTCTAATTATAAAATTCGACGAAACATAAAAATTCATATTTTAACTCAATAAAAATATTAATTGTATTTGAACAAATATTGCGATTTCTCTATTTCTTCAAAAAAAAAATGTTTACACTTATTTATAGTGCTTTGATCTTCAACATTGCTTCTAGCAGTGCCTCTTTGCTCCATTCCCACTTGTAATTTTTCTTTTATAGTTTTACCCATAACCTTGCCAGAAAAAATGATTAAAAAATATTATAATAGAGCTAGAGCATATTACGTGATGCATTTTTGCATTTTTAAAGAAAACTACATCCTCATACATATCGAATAGAAAAAAACATTTGTATACGACTGTCACCGGTTTTATTTTATGAATTGCATCTTTAGAAATACAGTGTGTGTGAGAACATATACAAGATGGGTCATTTTAATGTCCCCAACTAAATATCTATTTTTTCCCCTCTTTTTTCCTTGCTTTTTACAAAAAAATGTTTCTTACAAAAGTTTTGACTTCGTGGCTGATATAAGATGATATCATTGGTTTGATCGTGGATGAAAGTCATGAGGTTATTTCAAGATCACCTTAATTTTTTTAAATAGGATCACCTTAATTTGTTTACATATAAATCGATTCCTCGCAATATTTGACAATTATGATGATAGAAAGGAAAACTCTTTCTATTATCATAATTGTCCCCTCGAATGGTGCAACTTTTTCTTTAGCAATTTATCATCAAAAACAAGTGAGATATTTAAGATGCTCGATTTAAGTGAACCACTCTGTGTATATAGAATAAAAAATAATTAAAAATACTTTCCAACAAATTTTATCGTTTTTTTTCCTTAAAAATTAGTATTATCAATTAATTGTTATGAATTATTATATATTATAT